ATCACAAGGTCAGGAGTTCAAGACCAGCCTGACCAACATGGTGAAACCTTGTCTCTAGTAAAAATACAAAAATTAGCTGGGCATGGTGGTGCATGCCTGTAATCCCAGCTACTCAGGAGGCTGAGGCAGAAGAATTCCTTGAACCCGGGAGGTGGAGGTTGCAGTTAGCTGAGATCATGCCACTGCACTCCAGCCTGGGTGATAGAGCGAGACTCTGTCTCAAAAAAAAAAGAGAGAGAAAATGGCCAGGCGCGGTGGCTCACACTTGTAATCTCAGCACTTTGGAAGGCCGAGGCAGGTGGCTCACGAGGTCAGGAGTTCAAGACCAGCCTGGCCAAGATGGTGAAATCCCATCTCAACTAAAAATACAAAAATTAGCTGGGCATAGCAGTGGGTGCCTGTAATCCCAGCTACTCGGGACGCTGCAGCAGGAGAATCACTTGAACCTAGGAGGCAGAGGTTGCAGTGAGCCAAGATCGGGCCACCGCACTCCAGCCTGGCGACAAAGCAAGACTCCGTCTCAAAAATAAAAATAAAAATTAAAATTAAATTTAAAAAAAGAGAAAAAAGAACAAGCTATGGAGAAGTCCCTGTCTAGATTCTGAATCAAGAGTCCAAAGAGACAGCCCTATGGAGTGCTTGAGAGCACTCCTACTCCAGCTCCCCCTGCGGCCATGTCACAAATCTGGGCCAGCATCCCCATCATCTCCTGAGCACCCCACCTTCCCTGGATGCCTGTGACCGTCACTCATATCAGGTCTTGTCACCTCCTGACCAAAGCACAGCCATTAGGGACTGTGTGGGCGTCCAGGCGTCTGTCCATGAGGCCCTGGTACTCACTGGTGGGTGTCCCTTCTCGAAAGTGAGAACGCAGGGTGCTGGGTAACCTACAGTGTCTTTTTGCCTTGACAGCCCCACCCTGACACTTACTCCAGTGGTCCTGTAGATTGGAGAGATCCTCAGAAGTGGGCTTACCGAGCTCTAAGCAGCCGAGGATCCCAACGACAAGTCCCATCACGTGGTACAGAGGCAGGACCATGTAAACCACGTCATCAGCTGTGGCCCCAAATAAGGACAGCATCTTGCTCATCTGCAGTACCCTCTCATGAGTGAGGATGGCTGGCTTCGGGAGGCCTTGGGATGAAGGCGTGGCAAGGGCAGAGTGGTGAAATGACAGCACAGAGAGGGTCCTGACCAGAGGGATAGATCTCTAACAGCCAGGCCTGCATCGGGGTTTGAGGCTCTCAGAGAGCAGTCAAGTACAGGGATCTGTGGTTGGGTTCACAGGCTGAATTTGGACTGAGAGTAATATGTCAAGACCAAAGGTTTCAGTGGCTGTTTACTGGACACAGGAAGCATTCTGGCATTGACCTCTCAAATTACATTGGGGGTCAGAGTTCAGGCCAAATGTCAAAATCAAGGCTCTCACAGTGGCTCACACCTGTAATTCCATCATTTTGGGAGGCTGAGGTGGACAGATCACCTGAGGTCAGGGGTTAGAGACCAGCCTGGCCAACTTGGCAAAACCCTGTCTCTACCAAAAATGCAAAAATTAGCCAGGTGTGGTGGTGGGCGCCTGTAATCTCAGCTACTCAGGAGGCTGAGGCAAGAGAATCGCTTGAACCCAGGAGGTGGAGGTTGCAGTGAGCCGAGATCACACCACTGCACTCCAGCCTAGGTGACAGAGCAAGACTCTGAGTCAAAACAAACAAACAAACAAACAAAAAACAGCCAAACAAGCAGAAAACAAATGTCAAAATCAGATGGTAAAGTGGTTTCAGAGGTCAACACTGAGGCACAAGTCAAGTGTGGGGTCAGGTCAGCCTGAGAGTTCAGAGGCTGGTACTAATGGGCACCCTCACCAGTGGTCCCTGAGGTGTAGATGAAGAGGGCAGGGCTTCTCCAGGTGATCCCAGCACGCAGGTCAGCAGGCACTGGATGGGAGGGCGCTGCATCCAGGGCAGCCCCCAGAGCCCCCACCCCTGGTGTAGGGGAGGTATGACTGAGGTAGAAGCAGCGGATGTTCTCAGCCTGCAGCTTGGGAAGGATCTCCTCCAGGCTCTCCCGGAGGTCTGCAGGGATGGGTCAGAGGAGAAACAGATGCAAGGCTCACCTTTGAGGTCACGAGGCGGGATCTGAGACCCAGAGATGCAGGCAGAGTTGCAGCTAGCATAGAAAAGCATCCATGTTGTTCGGTAAAGAATCCCATCATTAGTATTTTTGGTCAAAAAGGATTGAAATAGCCATTGTGGGAAAATTAAACTCTGGTGACTTGAGAACTACTTTCTGCTCATAAGTCTTGATTATAACTGCCTGAGAAAGTGGGCAGGTGGGGACCAAGGGCCTCTGCCAGTCCCACCAGGACCCCTGTCCTACAGTCCCTGCCCTTGCCCCCTTCCTTTCTCCACTGGCTCCAAGGCCCTCACCTGGGTCCACCACCAGCACCCGGGCCCCGGAGCTCAGCACAGAGTGCACCAGGGGCATCCCCCGGCTATGCGGGTTGATCCAGGCTGTTGGGCAGCCCAGCTTGGCCAGCCCCAGCCACAGACACAGGGCTGGAACGGCCTGGGAAGCCAGCACCAGGAGGGCGGCAGGCTCCCCAGCACACAGGCTCGCACGGCCACCCATCTCAGCCTTCAGGGCCCATGCCGCCTGGCAGGCCCGGGCATCCAGCTCGCCAAGGGTGACTGAGCCAACCCCGGGCCCCGTCCACACCAAGACTGCCCTGCCAGACTGAGCTCGTGCTCGCCTCTCGAAGGCATCTACAAAGGTGTCAGGTGGCTGCCGGCTCAAGCATGCCCTGATCTTCAGGCCCACATGGAGGAGCTTAGCCAAGAAGACCACATCAGCCGGCAGCCAGCGTAGCCCTGGGGGCGGCCGTGCTGGCAGCAGGGTTAGTGCCAGGGCTGCAGCTGCCAGGCTCAGCCCATGGGGCACCCAGGGGCTGAGCCAGGGCCGTGCTAACATGGCCAGCCCAAGTAGCACGCAGCATGTGGGATCCCCTAGGAGCCAGCGCAGGGTCAAGGCCACAGCCACTGGCCACACTGGCTGTCCTAGGCCCCAGAGCAGGAGCAGCAGCAGCAGCAGCAAGGCCAACCGTCGCCTGACACCCATGGTACCAGCTCCTCCCTAGGAGCAGCAGCTGTGGAATATTGAGGCTCACCTCTGGCCCCTCAGAGTAGCCCAATGGCTCCTCCCCAGGGGTGGCGGCCCTGGCACTGCTGACAGTGGCTGGTCCTCTCTCCAGGACTTTGCCCCCAGCCCTTCTCCTCTACATGTTTGTTTGCTCTGACTGGTCTTGTGTGTGGCTCCAGCCCCTCTCTGCCTATTTGCCACCCCTATCAGCCCCCTCCTTTGCCAGGTCTGACCCCTTTCCATCATTGGCCTCTGGGTTCCCAGGTCTCTGCCCCTTGGGCACCACCACTAGCCTCCTTCCTGCTGTCCTGCTTGCCCCATCCACCCTCCGGGGCTGGCGTCTAACTCCCTTGCCTCCCCTCCCATCCCTGCTGTGTACCAGGCACTCAGAGCACAGAAATCCCTGCCCTTGGGAACACTCCAATCAGGCCAAAGAGAAAAGCAACAGGACAGCAAGGTGGACCTCACTGGGAGGTCCTCCTGTGACACCCACTTAAACCCTGGGGAGAGGGCCTCAGCCAGGCTAAGCCCCTTGTCCCACGATCCAAGGAATCGTAGCCTCCTGCCAGGCATCCAGCAAGTGCTCAGTAAATAGAGGAACACTCGCATCGCCTGGATTCAAACCAGCTCTGCCCCCCACCCATGTGCTTGCTCTGTGACTCTCTGTCCCATCTCTGGCTTTGATGACGATGGAGTCCTGGGGTTCAGGAGACTGAAGTCAGCCCATGATGCACTCAGTTGGATCATCAAAGCCTTGGCATTTCACCTTGAGGAGGCAGTCCCAGAAGGTAAATCCAGAGGAGCTGCCATTGGCCTAGGAGCCTGGCAGGTCAGGCTGAGGCATGGCCCTCCAGGACATACCCCACTCCACCAGCTCGAAATCCTTAGGGCAGGGCACCTAGGCTAGGAGCCACTATTGTGCTGAAGAGGGGAGAGGTGAAGAGTGGCTGCTCTCTCCACTGGATGCAGGGGCCTGGGACATGGCTGGCCACTGGGGTAGTGTCCCCAACTGCCCAGCAGTCAGCCCCCGGATCCCACCCCTCACTGTTTCCTGTCCCCAATACAGCCATCAGAGCCCTCCCTGAACTTGGCCCCCAGCACTAAGGGCAGATATAGGGGGGCTCATATACCCTCAGGGCAACCTGGCCCCAAAGATCCCCCTGGGCTCACCACAAGTAAGGTGCTCAGCCATGTCCATCAGAGTGGGGGAGGGGAAGTCTCAAGTCCAAAAGGCCCTTAGACCCTGGCTGGAAGATCTATGGGAGGGGCCTCAAAGGTCGTGGACAGCAGCAATCAGGAGTGCGATGGGGCTTTCACATGGCCTCCCTCTCGGAGACCCATCTCAGATGTGCCTGCCTATCCTCCTCCCCACAGGACTCAGGGATACAAGAGAAGCAAGTGCCGGTTATATATGTAGCCCATCTTAGCCCCTACAGAACAGAGGTCCGAGATGGCAAAGGGGACCATCCTGTCCCTGCCCAGGACAGCCTGTGGGCCGCATGGGTGCCGCCCAAGAACAAGGACGCTGAGCCCTGACACCCACAGCTTGTCTATGAGAGCAAGGCACGCACTGATCCAGGTGCTCACAGCTTCGTGGTTTAGGCCCCATGGCCTACAGTCCTTTATTAGAGTGAGAGTCCCGAGGCCCAGCCCCCATATATGATGGGTCCACTTGAGCCTCCTTAGGCGCCCCACGAGGGAGGGATAGCTTGGGTAGGGAGCTAGGGACCTTGAACAGCCTCACACCGGGGCAGGGGAGCGGCCCCAGCCCCCACCCCCACCCCAGGAGAGGGCGGGGCGAGAACCGGAGTCATATCTTGGGCCGGGTCCCAGCGCCTGAGCGCCCGGTTTAGGCAGGAAATGGTCTAGTTCTCAGAGGTGGTCTGGTCCCTAACCAGCCCCAGCTCGGCACCACCTGGAGGGTTCAAGTACATGGAGGAGAGGAGTAAGGCGGACTTAGGCCCCGGTATGGAGAAAGGGTGAAGGGAGAGAGAGGACCTGCGCTCAGGAGGGAGCGTGGTCTAGTGGCGGGAACCACGGGTCCCGTAGCGGGGGTGGCCGACCGTGCGGGAGGCCTCGGATCCACTGTGGGCGAGGCCAGGCCCCAGCCCCATCA